CGCCACGAAAAATTCTCTTCAGAATTCATTTTAAAGCAGTTTTATAATTTTTTTTTGAGGAAAAGAGAACTTTATTCTGTCCTTACATACAGATATCACGTAAAAACATCGTTAAATTGCACTCGGTAGCGGTCAAAATGGATATTTTCGTTGAAATATGCTGCCTGAAACTTTTCGCGATTACAATACTTCCTTTTTACTTCGTGCAAGGAAGTAAAAAGACAAAGTAGTCACAAGAGTCGAATATTAATCCTTTTCTAAATTCTTGTCATCCAAGTTACAATATGCAACACATTGTCCATTTCGTTTTACTAAGAAATTTTGAAATTTTTATTTATTATCCTTTATTGGTAATGAGATTCTCCAGCTTTAAGTTAAACAGCTTTAAAAGAATTCTTGTTTATAAGTGTAATCAAGGGACAAGAAACAAGGTACAGTGGGGAAATAAAATAAATAAATAAATAAATAAAAAGTAAAATAATACTATTGAAAGATTGAATAATAGTAATGCTGGTGTGTCAAATAAATATACGCTTTCGAATCATGTAAGTTTTAGCTTTCCCTCTTACCTCAGAAATGTTACATATCGCGTTCTTTTTCGTTCTCGCTGTTCCTGTAAAAGTAAACGAAGAAAAACTAGGGAATTACTCTATAATATTTATTAATAACAACGTTACTAGAACAAAGACAACGTAGGTACAGAAAATCTCGGTACCCTAATTTTAAGTCTTAGTTTTAAAAAATTTGTTTTCGGCATAATTTTGGTCTCTCACCAATCGCCGTTAACTCAATAATATAAAGAGAGAAATTGACACCGTGTCTACAGAAGTCTTTACACGGCCTTTATCTTCACAGTCATTGGTGGTATATATATATATATACTCCCAATTACAAAAATAGTTTAAACGACTCAGAGATTTATATTGCTCTTTTTTTTTAGTCTTTCTTTAATTATTTTTTTTATAAAATATACAACCTAACTTTTTACACGTTCATCATGTTCTTTATACTTAGAAATTATATATATTTATATCTATATATATTATATATATTATTTTTATATTTAGAAAATTTTGAACTCCGTATAAAAAATAAAACGCATCAACTCTCGTATTCTTAAAACTGAACTAGGTATTTAATTCCCAAATTTTGGATTTTTGACATCATATTCAATATGTATTGAGAGGTAGGGTAATAAATAAATTAGAATTATTCAAGGATGATTTTTCCCTAAAGAAATGCATTCAAGGGAATGTTTCGTGATTTACTAGTGTCTTGGAATTTATAATTTTATCGCATTTAGTACTCCGAAAGAATTTTCACACAATTAATTTACAGGTTTTTGAAGTACGCTATTTATTACTTTAGAACTTAGTTTTATTACTTTAGAATAATAATTCAGTAGCAGTTAAAAATTCATGAAAATACAAATAATTTTCAATTTTGTTGAATGTAAATAATATTAAAAATTGGTTGTGTCCGAATATCAGCCAGTATATTTTAGAACACGAATTGTATTAGTATTCTGTGAATAAGCGTCTTCAGTTACAAAAAAAAAAAAAAATTGTATTGATCAATACCTTTACACTTTTTCACAATAATCTGCATAGAAATGCTCGTCACTTAATTTCTTAACCTCAGAAACTTTTTCTTAACTATTATATGATTTTTTGTTACATAAAAACTTTTCTCTCTTCAATTTGTGTACGGCCCCTGAATGTCATTCTCTATTTTTATATCAAATATCTCGGTCAATTTTTTGTTATACCGTAGTCAACTATGAAAGCTGTATGACTATTAGAGTGAACCATACTTTCTATTAACCTTCCTTTTGTTCGATCTTCGCAGCCTTTGCTTTAAACGTGGTTGCCCCGGTGTGCCTTTAAGCAAGATCATGTGTGTGAATCATTACTATTGTACGGTGCGCATTTGTGTGAGTGTGTATTTATATAGATAATTTGAATGTCATTGAAAAAAATAAGCTAAAAAACCTTAACCCAACTTTTCTAATTACTCATCTGTTATAGATGCACATTTTAATTAAATTTTGTTTATAATTAATTTATTCTTCCTGATTTAATTTTCTGAATTGGGAATTTGTTAGGTCAAAACTTGGCTTTGTCTTTTACATTTCTCGTTTTACCCACCCATGATGAAGATGCTGTGGGAAATATTAAATTCGTTTGATTGTATTTGTTAAATTTTTAAATTATTCTTCCAGCATTTTCGTGAAAAGATTTTTTGTTTGGGTACCGAATTTACTCTGGGCGGGTTTATCTGCTTGGGTTGGTCTTCTATGGTTTCGTTTTTGAACAGTGTATTGAAATTTCTATGGGATTTTAATTTTTTTTTAGATTTTAGAAGCGTTTTCGCTGGTGCCAGTAATATAATGGTTGGTTTGTCCTTTCTTCAGGTCTGGAAAAAAAATTATGCCATTCCATCTTTTTAGCTAGCTGAACTGTTTATGGTATTTGAATTAACTTTGTTTTTGTTTTGCTTTTAATTTGTATGTATATATATTGCATTACATCAACTCATGTCCATATAAAATTTCATTACATTAAAATCTCCCAATTAGACCTGGAGATAACCGACCAAATGCGAAAATTCCCTGTTTTCAACACCAGTGTATGTTGACATTAGTTTGGCAGAAACCATTCACAAAACTGCAGCAAAAATGATTAAAACCGGATATTATGCTTTAGATCTTGAAAACACAAGGCAAAAAATACGAAATGTCTTGCATTCTGCAAGATGCTGTCATTATTAATGGCTTTTGTTAAATATCCGTATAAAAATGTTGTTTCTGGTATTCATGCACCATATCTCCTCTTTTAGCATTGTTCTGACGGTGATTATCGCCATCTTCAGAATTTACTATGAAGTATTTTCTATATTTTTATAAATGAAACAAATGCACTTCTTGCGGCAACATTTTGCTTTAAATCGCGTAACAATATTTCTTGAAAGTACGTTTGATAGCATGCACTTTTTTTGCTAGTTCTATTACTACACACTGAAAATTCATTCATTTTTAAACATTTACTGGTGTTTGAATAATTTTGTGTAACGAGGTTTTCTTCCAGCATACACAAATAATGAAAAAAAAGTCTCTGTGATAAATTAATGCATAATAAGCTATTACAGAAATTAATGTAATATACGCTACACTGAACATTTGTAGCATAACTTTTGCTTCTCTTAATCGCCATTGGGGCGCATTTCGTAACTAGTAAACCATTTATATGTTTTATAAACAATTAGGATTTGGAAAGCACAATAAATTACAAATGCTGAGTTAACGGGTATGGTGTCACGCCAACATATATGCTGCACGTAAATATGATATAATTAGTTATTAGTTTTTATAGTAATATAGTTATTTTGCAATCCTTTACGTTCCCTGATGTACATAATTAAAACATTTAAGTTCTTTAACAACGAATACAAATGTATATATATATGTGTGTGTGTGTGTATGTGTATGTGTGGGTGTAAGATATAAAATATGAAGGACAATTATTAGCAATTTAAATTTAATTGGAACGAATTTTTAACTTAAAGGCAATAGCTCTTTAAATTCTTAATTTTGATGATATACATCCCCTCTACAATACCGCGTATTACACCAATTTGCGTCATCCTTTCTCCACATTGCGAAAACGCTTGCTCAGTAGCTATACAGAACTCAAAAATGGAATTTCCGACTATAAATATTCCAGCTAATTTCTACGCACCACTTTTTCTCCCGTGCTGTCGTTACAGAAGCATGTGATTAACCGCTTGGCTGCCAAAACTGTTGTAACAATGTGTTGTAACATATTTAAACCTGTATGGTGTATATTTCATCCTTTGCGTATGTGATGTCTGTAGAATGTGCTTCCGAAGAATTGTTGATGCCCTGAAAATAAAATGATGTTTAACCATCAAGCGAGTTGAGCTGTTCCATCTGCTACACAGCAAATTCAAGCAAACTTCAATCATGTGAGAAACTACATCCTTCCGCCACTCTAGCCATTATTCTTCTATTAACTATGGTTCTATTAAGTTATCTCACCATCGTACGACCAAAATATTACAAAACCTGCTATCAATGCCATTCCCAAGATTGCGACGAAATGTGTTTTTCCGTCTTCCTATACAAACAATTACCACGTATATATATATATATATATATATATATACTAGTCACTATTCAGTATTTTGATACTTTTAATTTTATGCAGATTTATGCTTCTTTATGTTTATAATACTGTTGTTCTAAAATTTAAAAAAATTCATCTAAATGTGTGAAGGTATTACTAAAGTATCATTTAATTATGATTCGCTGAATACAAAGTAGCATTGACTTAAAAGCCGAATATACTCTTAAAAGACGGTTCTGCAATCATATGACCGAAATATTTACGATTGCGTGATGAATTAACTACAATACAAAAATTTATTGCAGTTTTGTGCAGTATCAGACACTATATGAAACCATAAAGGCTAAAAATATGCATCTGCGCTGCCCGGCTGAACAGACAATAAAATTGTTGGAATTTACTTACAATGAAGCTACAAGATACAAATGATTCATGTTCCCAACAAAGCATCAGCTTTCTTACCTGGAAAACAAAAAAGAAACAGATCATTAGTATTTTAATAATTATCTTAATTTTAAGAAAATATCCATTACTTTGCAGTATTAAGACATTAAATATTTCTGATAGGTATGACGAAGATAATTTAATTTTTTCTAAGTAAGTATATAAAGGGATAAACTTTAGGCGCTTAGAAACACAGTTTCATATGCAAATCAAGTCATACCTAATTTGACAAAAATTTTGTTATAAAGGTAATAAAATAAAAACATGGTTATCATCAAGCTTTATAATACAGTAGCAAATTTTTGCTTCTTAAACGTTTCCATCTTCTTTACTAAATTTCTGTAGTAGTTCCTTTAACGAAATATTAAATTACTAATCAGAGTATTTCGTATTTTATCTAATTTATTCCAGGTGCTAAAGAAAAAGTACGTATGAGAAGAGATTACAGGACAATACTCTGAGACTCATATGTAAATATAATTTAAATTTTTAAATGTGTAACTAAACTGAAGTGAGGTATACATCTCACGTAAGTTTTCTTTACTATCTCGTGGAAAATTCGCAATGAATCTAAGGAAAACGCAGGTTTTTATTTTGTGTTTCCTATCCCACTGAATTTATAATTTAATGTATTCAATTTATTATTATTATTTCTTAATTAAACAGTAAATTAAATGAATTAAATCTATTGATTCTTTTTCCTAATATTAGGCTTACTACCATTTGAAATATTTCCCAATTTAGGCTTATAATGTTCCATATTTAACATAGATTTCCTATATTTTCACAATTTGCAATGTATTGGCTCAAGAATGTTAATCTTAAAAGGCTTTCATTTACTTTAATTTTAAGTAATTATCTTCTAAAATAACTCAGTTCCGTTTCATAAATTTTAACTTTAAAATTTAATTATTGTTTCCAATTGCAATAGTTATTCAAAAGTATTACTTTCATCAATTGCTTTAAACTTGCTCAATCAATTTTCTCGTTTCTAATTCCCAGAATTATTTTTATACTGTTTAATTTTTATATAATATTATTTGTTTAGGATCACTTCAGATCAGATTACATCGTGATGATTAATTAAAAAATTACTAAAAATTTCTAAATTCAATTTTAATGGTATTCTTTAGAAATAATATAAAATTTTTAAAGGCCTTGCATTTTAAAATTAAGTTAAATGCGCTTATTTTTGTGCTTGCTTTAAAATTATTTATTAATTCATTACCATCCAGATATAATTCAGAAATGTGGTTTTGTTGAAACGTTTTTGCCTGCTCCTTGAAAAAGGGCTAAAGAATTCTCAAATATTTGTAATAGTATTATATTATTATACTTTTTGATGTTAATTGAGTTCTCTTTGTTTCAGGTATGATTTGTGCACTTCTTGTGAATCATCAATTCTGATTTAATTTTTACTTCAGGATTATTTAAAGCTATTTCGCAGCATGTTGTACGAAACTAGCAAAATAAAATAATCTTAATTTTGAAATTTTTAAACTCTTGTTTATATATACATATATATAATCTTACAATACAAATATTATAATAACGATCAAAACTACACAGTCTAGTTTTAGTATTTTTACAACATAATCTCAAATGTTTTTTTACACTGATCCTTTCAAATTAGTCCCTCAAACATACACGATAGATTTAATGACTTATTCTGTACTTTCCATCTTTACTCTGCTAAAAGACTCCTTTTAAAACGTTTACTAATATAAAAATTAGACTGATAGAAATTGTCTTATGATGGTTCCTATCAGATCAGTTATGCATATTAATAAATGAAGAGATGTAATGCATATAATTTATATTATATGCATTAAATTACTTTATCCATTTGAAAAAGATACTGACTGCATCGTTTAAAGATTTATAAAATTTGGATGAGTTTAAAAATATTTAAATTTTAGTCTTTTTTTTCAAATATGTGTTTGAAATTTAAATTTTTAAACTGATATTAAGCTGAAAATAAATCCACTTTTCAAAAATCTGCTTTCGAGAATTTAGCATAGATCTTTAACATTTTTTAAATACCATTACCCAAAAATTTAATTTATAATAATTCAGATAATTTCTTTCTCGAATGTAAGAGTAAATCCTCCTTTCTGACTTACTCAACCAGAAAAATATTTCCACTGATATTTTTTCACGAGCCCATATAAAAATTTTAATTTCATGGATTTTCTCTAAAATCACGTAACCAATATTATCGTAGCTTGGAGTGATATACTTCTGAAAAAAAATCACGGATCTACGACCAATTATGTAAAGATATTGCAATCATCTGAAACGCACTTTGTAAGCTATCTAAACTAAAAAAAAACTGTTTTCTGTCTCCTTCCAACATGCCTTCTTGGTGTAACAGTACCACAGTAGGGGCGTATTCGAGAGGTCCAGGTTCGAGTTCCGGGGAGGGGATTGCACATATTTCGAGTCTCCTATTTCAGAATAATTTAATGACTCTACACTGGCGCCCGAACTAAACCTTGGTGAGCAAAACTTCATCACCATCATGCTGGTGCTTGGTTCCCCTAATCCCCAGTCGGGCTTTAAACATTTTCCTCCTTCCAGCATGCCTTCGTGGTGTAACGGTAGCACACTTAACGCGTATTCGAGAGGTCCAGGTTCGAGTCTCCTGCTTCAATATAACCTAATGACTCTACAATGTTCTTAGTTACATGAAATATTTATGCTGCTGAGGAACTTTGATAATCAGTTTAAAACTTAAAACGCGGACCCACCGCATAAAGCAATTATTATTATCATATTTAATAAATCGACAGATTCTTCAGGAATCAAAGAAATACACACAGCTATCAAAAATCAGCAACAGCGGTCAATCAAAATTCTAAAATTTGCGGTATTGTCAAAAAATTAATAAATTAAGGTATATAAAAAATTGAACATAGCCTAAATTTTGGTTATCATTGAATGATATATTTAATAATATTTCTGACAATTTAAATGAAACATTATGAAAAATAGTTTCTTTCGTAGCACTCTCATTCAAAATCAGTTTTGTTATTCTTTGATGGTCTTATTCACAAAATACATTGAAATTTGCGGCGAGTCATGGAGTCACTCGGGGCCTCGTGAGTCGTTGGTGTGTATGGATAGTTAATAGACGAGGGCAACACTTGAATCACCTCTTGGTAAATATTTGATGCTCGTACGTATACCTATTTCTGTACCTGCCTATAAAAATTGCCCAATCGGTGGTTCATGACGCTCACAGCCATTATACTTTTAAAATGTGTGACGTTATATATAGAACCTAAAGACATCTGATGATATTTTCAATCACTGTATTTTACTATCAGTGTAATTTATAAAGCACGATTTCAATATCATTTATTGTGCACTTGGTTACAGAATATCATTTGCACTCGCCTAGTAACAAATTTTCTATCTTTGATTTCATTTATCATCATGTAAAATGTTAAAATGTGTTGTGGAATATCATAGAAATAATCTAGATATTCTGCTAGAAATGCATTAAATTCATCTATGCATTTTATTTCGCATATTTACTGTGAATATATGCTTATTTATTTTACTATAAAAAATTAAGAAGAAAGTCCAATGCTTTAGAGAAATTAGAAGCTGTGGAATTTTATAAAAGAATATAATCAAATTACGAAATTCTAAAATCAGCAATAAAATGAATTGTGTAGGAATATCAAGCAGAAATCGAAACTACTTTATCATGTATTTACAGAGAATCGTAAATGTTATCATACCTCGCAGCAGTTTTATCCATCACATTTCTTTCATATCAAAGACATATGATAACGAGCGAGTATTGTTTCCCGCATACAATAATATCACCTTAGTATAATTCGTTTGATTAGAAATAGATATTGTAAGTCATGATGTTTTTCTTTCTATTCTGGAATTTATTATGCATTAGAAATGATAAGCTTTTGCATCATTTCTGAATTTTCTCTGAATGTTCGGCGATAATCGGAATAAAAAATTTTTAAGTTTTCGGCTAATTATTGTTTCTATACGTGATATTAATAGAACCTCATTCAGAGATTTGTGAGTGGATTACTTTAAATTACTTAAATAAACATCTTAATTTCCATGAAATATAAATATTTTCAACAAAATTTCATATACAGCGCTAATAAGCAAGCTTTAAATACAATTCGTTTTCATTGAAGCTAAATTCAACATCGTCCTTAAAAGTATGTGTCGCACTTCACAAGTTTCACTTTCTTATCACTCACTAGGCATACTACCATTTTTATTTGCAACTGCAACGAATAATTTAAATAAGACAAACAAATTTTCTATGAATGAAACTGACTCTTCGTAATAAATCTTGAAGTTTTAACTAATTTTTTTAACCTTTTAGGCCAAAGGGGTGATTTTCTCAGAAGGGCTATTAATTTCGTTTTTTGAATTTTGTATCGTCCACTATAAAACGACGTTTCTTTTTTCAAATTGTTGCAACCAAATATTTGGTCCTGCATTATACTTAAAGAAATGAAATAATGAAGAATCTGCATGAATGTATGTATATTTCTAGCATTGTGAAAAACCAACGGTACCTAGAGACATCACATTTTGAATAACCTAGTCCTGCACTCAAATATGGGCATGTGGAAGCCCAAGTTTGGACTCTGGAATTCGTTTTATTATCTGTATCCTATTTTTCACAACTTTAACGAATTTTTGATTACCGAATTCAGCGCTTTTAAAGCGAGCAATGGCAACACTGTATGAAAAAAAGATTTATATCCAGCGCGCGAGACTGTGTATTGGAAATTCTAAAGATATGCTCGTTTTAAAATTATTTTGGTATATTGCTGTTGAATTGAATTTTACGGTTTAAGTGCGAAGAACATGGTATTTAATAAATAAAGGTAACACGGTAAATGTTAAAAAAACGTCCCTTTGAGCGTAACATAAAATCTGAAAGTTTTCAGATTTTTGTTTTCATTTTTATTACTTTAATAAAGGAAATCTTAAAGTAGCTTTCTTGCATAAGGAAGAAAAGAATGTTAAACCTAACATTTACATTAAATCTGTTTTCATAGGTATCAGTATAAAAATTAAAATAATGTATATAATCTTGGTCAACATACAGTTATTAACTTTTCATATTTTATATTCGAGAGGAATAATAGAGTAAAAGGTATAAAACAAAGAGTCAAAGAACAGATAAAACCAATTAATTTGGCAGCAAAACATCTCGTGCAATCTATGCTTCATTACCAAAGAGAATGACTTCGCATCACATAAATTCGAATCTCTCAAAAGCATTTGTGAAGACGAGGGCAAAAGGGGGAAAATGTTTTAAATCTGTATGTGGAATGTTCTCTGTCTTATCAAAAGCTAAGCTAAAAAAGATATTTTCGCCAAACAGGACATTAAAACATACACATTAAATTAAAATTTTGAACTTGACAACAAATTTTTAAAAAAGTGTGAATTGCGTGAAAAAAGCGTGAGTATATTTAAATTATATGTTTAAATTTTTATTTTAGTTTTAGTAGTTATTTAGTGAAAGTTGTCATAATTAAATTTTCGGGAAACAGTCAGTCCCCTAACTTTATTGCCGTAGTTGTTAAAATGTCAGAAAAATTCAAATTTGTTTGCTATCATATATAAGTTTTAAACATCATGTTTTATAATTTTAAGATTAGAAGCTAATGCACGAAATTGTAGCGCAATAAATGGCAAGCAACAAAAGAACTTAAACAATTAGGAAACGATATTATTGACAAGCTTATATGAGATTACTGTGAGACATTACATAGTTTCTGACGAGGAACAGCAAACTCAGCTTTATTAACAAAAGAGGAAGTCAGAACAAGATCTTTGATTAAGAGATTTTTTCTTAAAGAAAAGAAATATATTTTAAAGTTCCTTAATAAATATATACAGTATTTGTTACTTATACACTTTCCAGTCCGCATTTACTCGCTTTTTTTCCCTCCCTAGTCTTTTAATTCTAAAACGTCTTTAGTATTAACGTAATTTTTTCTAACATTAAAAAAACTAGCGTTATAAATTTCAAAACGAATTTGTCGATGTAGTGACAGCCTTTTCAATATTATTGGGCAAGAATACTACAAGATATAAAAAATTATTATAAACATTGTGAAGTATGTCAATTTAATAAGAAAAGTAAAGAAATTGGGTCTAATATAAGCATTATCATCTGAAGGTAAATCTTTTGAACTGTATCTACTGATACTGTAGGTGGTCTAAATTACTATAATTCTATCAAAAAGTATATTTACATTATTATACATCTTGCTACTCGTTGTATATATAATCTCGTTGTATATGGACATTTGTTTCTAAAAGTGTAACTACTGATACTCACATCAAATGTTTAAGACAAATGTTTCAGATTCAGGTCCGAAAGAAAATTTTAACAGACAGACACGCTGCTTGTACGTCCTCAAAATTAAAACATTTTTTAGAAACCATAATGGTGCGCAGTTATTAACTACTGCTAATAGATCA